CGGTCTGCTGACCCCCAGCAGTCTCAGGGCCATCTATCTCCAGCCATGCTGTCCAAGCACCTGAACAAGTTGGGTAAATATTTGGTGCGTTCCCCTTGTCGTTGTGAGCAAGGGTGGGCGGGATGAGGATTCCAGGGGCGTATACTATGTTTCTTGGGTTGTGCTTCATGCCCTAAAATTACCACGACTTGGTTATGGGTCGAAATGGGCGTGATGTGATATGGGCACACCGATGGCCAATAGGTACCAACTTTAAGAGCTCGGTTAGCTCGGTCATGCATACCATTGCACCGCCCATCCCTGAGCACGATGTCTACAATGTCTATCACGCGCTCAACCTTGATCAGGTCGCTGGGCTGGACGAAGTGGTGTACCGAGCGTTTGACCAAGTGTTAGAGCATTATCGGGCCGGCGAAGTATTGACTAAACCATCCAAGGCCTTTAAACATGCCAAGGAATTTCACGTGCGCCAGGGCGATAAACTGGCGTTGCCCCGAGGCTACGAGGAAGCGTTCCACAGGGCTGAGGTAGGTAGACCGTAGTGTAGCGAGCTGGCATCGCAGATTCGTTGGAGGTTGGCTTTAGCTATTGGACAATGTGCACCAGGTGGCATTCCTAACCTTGCTATTCTTGGTGTATACCAACTGTTACTGGTATGGCTAACATGAACCATTGTATGGTTTAGGCGATCGTCGACCTGATGATCAAAGATGACTGCCATCATGTTTTAAAGCGCCAGTCGGACTCATCGCCTCCATCTGACCAACACCAACACCATCACCACAGCGAGAGAGCGCTGGACTCGGTGGTGCGTAACTGTCCCTTGTTATTTGTGTTGCAACCGTGTGTCGTATCGCCTATCATGGGCACCGAGCTGATGGTTGTGTGTGGGGTGTTGGTTGATCCCGTGAACGATATTCATATTCGGAACACGTCCCAGTCCCTCAGCGTTCGATCATGGACAGCCCACTACAAGGACCCTGACACCATGGAGTACGGTTTGCTAATTGACAATGCCCAGCTGTGCATTCGCGAAATGGCCCACGAGTATTTGGCGCGTCGAAACCATTACCACCATGCCAACCAACATCACTGAGCTTTAGTTCGAGGTGGTGTATCGTCACTATTCGTGACGAGACATTTTGGCTGATACTATAGTTTGTTTTTGTTGAGGGCTGGGTTTTATAAAATGTGTTACTTTGAAGTACTCCAACATGTCATCAAAACTTGCACTCACGCAAAAAAATACAAAAATGTCGTCAATCCGTTTATTTACTGTTGTGTAGTATAAATATTGCACACTTTTATAGCGGCTCGATAGTGTAGTGGTGAACATACTTGCTTTGGGTGCAAGTGGCCCGGGTTCGAATCCCGGTCGAGCCCCTTTCTTTTGCTTTTTTTGGTACTTTTGTGAGAGGTATGTGGTGGGGAACCCACCTCAAGCCCTAAAACCGTCTAATAGCGCCGTTTTCAGCGCATTGGGACTACCAACTGT